TACAAAGCGAGCTCGAGCTCACTAGTGTGCTAGACGAGGAACACTCCAAGCTATTTCAGCTCGCGAGCTTGGACAATTAGCTCACTCCAACCCTTTGGTAAGGCCGCCTCGAAGGCCTCAGGCAGAATCACCTCGGGACGCCCTAGCAGCTCGCTACAAGGTAGCTCGTTATTAAGCGATGTGGCGTCCTCAAGAAGCTTCTTATCTGACAAGACCGTACCCGTCAGATTGCACCTACGTCTCTTGACTGACGGTGCAGTACCTACCAGCCCAGCGGGCTGCGCCCACGTCTCTCAACAGGCGACGACGTGTCTGTCCTTCCCGGGTCACGTCTCTCATCCGATTGGGCCAGTACCCTGCAACGGTTACCTGCGCAGCCCTGGAGAATAACGGCTGCGATAGAGGGCTAGTGGTGGTTACGCCCGATTCGATAGAACAACCAGTATTTAAGGACCTCGATTTCCAAGGGGCGGAGGCAATTGAACTGATCTAGCGCTATCTGCACTCTCAGCTCTCTTTGCATTTCCTACAGCTCTCAGATTTCTAACTTAAGCATCGGAGTATTCCCACCGGGCAAGCTCCCTGGAAATCCTTCACCTTCCTCTTCTCAGGTACCGTCCGTCGCCAGCTAGGAGTGCCTGGATCGCGCTGCATCAGACATGATATCGGGTAGCTTACAACTAACCAACTAGATGGTTTTTCATCATAAATGTAACTTATATGGTGATTATTAAACTTCCCAAAGTGAAAGTTCACCCGCACAAGGATCTAACGAATCAGGGTATATCCAAATTCAATCCAACACTATTAATTGTAGATCTTATCCAAAAATCCGATTGGATCTCATAAACATGGATTTGAATTTGAATCCAATGAGGAAGTTGGATATTTGGATCTAATCTGATCCGATTTGATTTTTTTTTAAATAATGAATTATTAAAATAAAAATAAAAATAAAATATAACAATTTAAATAAAGAAAAGCAAAAAATACAAGTATCTTTTCAACTATTTTCATATATATACATGTTTTTATAAAAAAAATAAATAATATAACAAATTTATAAAAATGCAATATAAATGATATATTTATAAATAAATAAATAACATGTGTAAATGTTATATATATTTATAAATAAATAAATAACATATATATTAGATTGGATCTTCCCAGATCGGATAGGGGTGATCCTAATTCGATCCGATGTCTGATCGGATCCTATTATTTGATATGAAGATCTGAAATGGGGACATTCGAATTCGAGAATATAGGATTAGACTTCGAGTAAAATCACATCGATCATGATCTGATCCATTTGCACCCCTTATAGTAGGGTTTGATTATGATGTCGGAAAGACATGATACCGGAAAAACTTACAACCAATCAACCAGCATCATAAATGTGGTAACTAATCACATGGGTTTTCATCAAAATTCACAGGGGTTGTGATTGGTCAAAGCCTTTCAAGTATCATGTCTTTTTGGCATCATAGGGAATAAATCTGTAACTACAAAGGAGGGAAAGGAGAAAATAAAATGTATCAACTTCAACAATAATATTTTCATTGGCTAATAATAATAGAAGAGATGTGGTTGACACTTCTTGATCACATGTCATGTTTGTGTGTGTCAATGTAAGAATATTTAGATATATAGGTCAACATGAACATGGCATGATTATTTAATTGCGTTAAATTTTCAAATATGTACATGACTTATTTATTACATGGGCATAATAAGACACAGCTTAAATAACCCAAATTAACATGATTAACATATTTAATTCTATACTAATAACATGAACAACCCGAATTAACTTGTAATCAACATGATTAACTTGCTTAAATTAAATGATAAATATATTTAAATTGTAAAATAAACATTCAATCATACATTACCTATCTAAATTCAGAAAACCATTTAATGTCATCCTTAACTATCATAATAGTATTTCAACCAAATATACATGCATGACACTTGAAACATTGGGTCATAAACAAGTCACTTTTCAAGTTGGGTGGGTCAATCCAAAATTCACACATTTATTAATCATGCTAAATAGGTCAACATGATTTTGACACAGGTATGATTGAGGTAAACCCATACCTACTAAGCTTTGGTGAACTATTATTGTTTCATTTTTTTCCCTTAAAAATGCCTTTTGAAATAGCAGCTTGTGCATCACACAGGTCACCGTTGGTATATACTAGAAAGAGGAAAGAGGGGAGATGAAGGGTTCTCTCACCATAGAGCTCACATGTATCTCCTTCCTTGCTTTTCCACACATGTGATAAAATCATTAAAAATATAACAAGTAAAAATTAAAAGCCTCATGACATCTCTCATCCCATTGAATCCCTCTTTTCCTCTTAAATCTCTCGTTATCCCTTATGGCTCTCTCAAGTAGGGGTATAAATTAGATGCATTAGGTTAGGTTAACGACCAACTTAAATATGAGCCCTAGCTTAGCCATACTAATGTCAAAACCCAAATTTCCCACCATTATATGGGGGTGAATCAATCTTCTTCTTATTCATTGGTTGTTCTTGTTCAAAATAAAATGTAGTAAGAAAGCACTTAACATGTGCCTTTGGTTATCTTTGTTGGTTCAATTTTGAAATTGTTTTTTTTTTTTTTTAACTTGGTTATTGATCTCGTGCTAAGCATATCTTTTTTTTCTTGGGGCTTTATAGGGCTACACAATGGGGGTAGCCCATCCCCAAACCCTTAATCCCCTAGCCCTAATGGCAACAAGATGTGATCCTAGGTCTCCTACAATTGGCTAGAGAACCTATCAACTACGCCACTATCAGTTGGTTCTCATGCCAAGCAATTGGTTTATGTACTTCTCATAACATATAAGCTATAAAAAAAAGAAATAAGTTTGAAGCTCAATAACTAAAAAATAAAATAATTTTATACTGTTTTATATGTAAATAATTAGAAATATATAAAAAATTTAATAAATCACTATTACTTCATTTTTTTTCCCTTTAAAAACACATTTTTAAATGACACCCTGTATATCGCACAAGTCATTGCTAGTATATATAGAAGGAACAAGCTTGAATTGGCTTTATGATATTGGATCTTAATTAATGGTAATTTTAATGCAGTAATAGGCCAAAGATACAAAGCACAAGGGCTAGAATAGGTGAAGGGATGGGCAAAGCTGGATCAAGCTTTTCCACAGCCAAAAAGTCTAATTAAAAATCGCTCATTGGATGGAACAGGCATTAATTGAGGAGATCATGACAAAAAGTTTTTTTGTAGTATGCAACACAAGTCATGCAAATAGGAAAGATAATATCTTGGCTCATATCAGCAACTAAATCTAGAAAATATAAAACATAAACATCGAAATACCACCACACTAGCTATGGCATCACCTTTTTGGCCTTAGTGATGGGGCGCATTGTAAATGTTTTGAATAAATAGCTAAATAATACCCAAAAGATGTATAGTTAATAATGACAATGATATCAATGATACAAAGGGTGAAATGTTCTATACAATAATGACAATTTCTATGATGTCAAAAGGGTAATATAATATATATAAGAAGAAGCTTTTACCAGGCATACCCTTTCCCATCTAAGTTTTCATGAATACTAGGTAGGGTTGCAACTTGGGCTAGGTTTGGATTGGGTTGAGTAGAAGCTCAGGTTAGGGTTAAACTAAAAAGTATGAACCTGATTTAACGGGTTGAGTTGGGTTAGGGTTGAGGCCTTACCAACCCAAACTTGACTCAATTTCATATTTGTATGTGTGATTATCATATCAACATGTATTTATGTATGTAAATACTTATGTATATAACTAAATATGAATGCATGCATGCATGTGTATATATACAACTATATATCCTTTATATGTTATGTGTATGCATCTATTTATCTCTTTATACATATATATGTATGAATGTGTATTATTGTATATGTCAATAATTTTAAGTTTCAATGTAAAATTTTATTAAACCATGAGTCTTGGAAATAAGAACATATGACATGAAGAGAAGTAGAGAGAAGTGAGATAAACCCAAACTCAACCTAACCCGAAAACCCAACTCAACATGGCCCGGTTTGTACTTAGAATTGATTGATTGATTGATTATCAGTTTTTCAAATATCATTCTTTTTAATATCATAGTCCCATCTTATAACAATTTATAGTTTCAATTCAAATACATGAATATATATGACATAGGACAACTGAAGTGATAATGCCCCTTTTAACGCCCCTATGCATATAACCCGATGTAGGGTTTCCGTTTTAAATTAAATCCACCCAATCAAAGCTCTGGAACAAAATGCCAAACTTCGGAACCCAGTCTTGTTCAGAAATTCTCAGTTACAAATTCAGGAGTTCGGATCACCAATTCAGCAGGTCTTATTTTTATGATGAGATGTGCGGTATTAGATCATGTTGGAAGAGTGTTGGAATATATTTTATTGCCAGGTGGTACTATGTTTCATCTTTCACGCACGTGTAACGTGTTTCTTTCCCTCTTTCGATCATGTCTAATGTGAGCATCTCTTAAAACGTCTATTCCACGGTTTCCACCGACGGCCATGGCCAAGGCTGCCACAGTTTTCCCACCTTTTCTTCCTGCCAAAAAGAAACAAGTTTCACATCTTGATCCATTGACGGGACAACTCAATCCGCACAACCAAACACCCTCAGACACCTACAATTATCCAGGACATTCCCCGCTATTATAGAAAAAGTAAGCCACATTTTCGTAATGCACCCTCTCAGACAGAAACACTGTATCTGTAAAAGGAAAAAAGGAAAAATAAAAAAAATCAGACTCACGCACGTCTCGCAGTCGGCCACGTTTCTTCTCAACTGACCTATGAACGGAGGGCCCCACTTACAATTATTGTTTTCTTTATTTTCAAAAATTATGATTTAGTCCCTACACACACTCCCTCCCCTCCTCTCTCTCTCTCTCTCTCTCTCTCTCTCTCTCTATTTTATCAAAATTTGATTTATTTTTTCTTTCTTTTTAATGTCGATTGGAGCAGGGAAGGGCAGAAGCCGTGTTCTAAGCCCTTTCTCTCTCTACTCTCCGTCCTTTCTCTCCTTCTCTCTCCTCTCTCTCTCATGATTTGTTCCCGCTGTGGAAGATTTTTTGTGGGTCTCTTCCTCGAAGAGCCTCTCGTCTCGTTCTCGTTGTCGACGAACCCCCCGATGTTGACCTGAATATCTCGCTTTCCTCCGAGCAGCCCTCTTGAAAGTTAAGGAATTATTAAAAAGAAAAGAAGGAACGATAGAAACCCTAGGAAAGAAAGGCTTCATCGAATTTGTATTTCTCTTTCTCTCCTTGTTTCTTTTTCCGTCAAAGAAGAGGCCAGTGATCGGGAATTCAAGATCTGTGAATCGAGGCTCGAAGTTTCGCGGATTTGAGGTTAGATCTTGGATTTATGCTTCGTTTCGTTTTGGTTTCTTCGTTTTCTGGTTTTGATTGTGTTGTTCTAGGGTTGTGCCGAGTTTTTTTTAGGGTTTCTATTTGTTTGCGGGTGATTTAGGGTTTGTTTGGTTGGTGTTTTGCAGATCTGGCTGGAGGAAGTCGAGATACGGTAGATCGGTTAGGGTTTGGGGGGGCTCTATTGCTTATGGTTTGGTTAGGATCTGGTTTTGAAAGGCCTGCTGTTTGATTTCGCTGCTTCTCTGCGAAAATGTCGATTCTACCCAAGAGTGATTCGATTCACATCAGGGAGGTGTGGAATGATAATCTCGAGGAGGAATTCGCTTTGATTCGTGAGATCGTGGATGATTACCCGTACATCGCCATGGATACCGAGTTCCCTGGGATTGTCCTTCGGCCTGTGGGCAATTTCAAGACCAGTTCTGATTATCATTACCAGACTCTGAAGGCCAACGTTGATTTGTTGAAGCTGATTCAGTTGGGGCTTACTTTTTCGGACGAGGCGGGGAACCTTCCGACATGTGGGACTGACAAGTATTGCGTTTGGCAATTCAACTTCCGTGAGTTCAATGTCAGCGAAGATGTTTTTGCGAACGACTCAATCGAGCTGCTGCGCCAGAGCGGGATTGATTTCAAGAAGAACAACGAGAAGGGTATCGATGCGCAGCGGTTCGGAGAGCTCCTCATGTCATCAGGGATTGTGTTGAACGACAGCGTGCTTTGGGTGACGTTTCACAGCGGATACGATTTTGGGTACTTGCTTAAGCTCCTGACGTGCCAGAACCTTCCGGATACGCAGGCTGGTTTCTTTACCCTGATAAAAATGTATTTCCCAACTGTGTATGATATCAAGCACCTCATGAAGTTTTGCAATAGCCTTCACGGTGGCTTGAACAAGCTTGCGGAGCTGTTGGAAGTGGAACGGATTGGTATCTGTCACCAAGCAGGGTCTGATAGTTTGCTTACATCTTGTACATTCAGGAAGTTGAAAGAGGCTTTCTTTAATGGCCAAACCGAGAAATACGCAGGTGTTTTGTATGGTCTCGGTGTTGAGAATGGACAGAATACTCATTGAAAAGCAAAAGATAACAAAAAAATAAAAAAAAGAGAACTGTTTGTTTGAACATCTTGGTGTGAGTCTCCCTTCTCTCTATGTACACCATTGGCAAAGCTTCTTAAGTTATGAATTTTCTCCTTTTCTTTTTTAATCTTTTACTATGGGATTTTTGTGGAGAATGTTGTGGAACTTCAAATAATTACGCCACATACACTTAAGTAATCTTAGCGAGGAAACGTAAGTGCAATTAGCATTGTTCCATAGAGACGCTTGGAACTCAAAAAACGTTGTTTTGAGGGGTGGGGGGGG